CAGATGGTGAGGGACATCATCACATATAGAGCAACACATATTTTTCTCCAGTTAAAAATAGACTAGAATTTTAATAATATGCTAGAGGCCTAGGACTGCATTATTTAGTTTAAGGTTGAAGCTAAAGCTAATATAACTTAATTGGAATGGGTTAAAAACAATCTTCACGGCTGTGCAATTGAAGCTCCATTACCAGGAACAATTAACTAACAGTAGAATTGCAGAACAAAGGATAGCTTGATTGATGGAACATTGAGAACATTAAGAAGAGCAGAGGCTCTTTAACAACTGTGGAATGAAGAATTTAAAAGGAATCAGGTAGATTATAATGATCCAGGAAGGCAAGTGACTTCCAGCACTACCACTGAAATGTTACTGCCACTGCCAGGCAGTTGGTTTTAAACATTCATAGATTCATAGATACTAGGGTCGGAAGGAACCTCAATGAATGATCGAGTCTGACCCCCTGCCAGTGGCAGGAAAAGGTGCTGTGGACATGTGACCCCAGCCAGGAGCTTGTCCAGTCTTTTCTTGAAAACTTCCAAGCTAGGGGAGAGCACCACCTCCCTTGGAAGCCTGCTCCAGTTTCTGGCAACCCTAACCATGAAGAAGTTCTTTCTGATGTCCAGCCTCCTAAATCTACTCTCTATCAGCTTATAGCCATAGTTCCTGGTTGTTCCAAGGGTTGCTCTGGTAAGTAGAGCATCTCTTATTCCCTGCTGCCCCACCTGGTGAATTTGTATACTGCCACAAGATCCCCCTCAGCCTTCTCTTGTGGCGGCTGAAAAGGTCCAGGTCCCTCAACCTTTCCTCATAGGGCCTTCCCTGAAGGCCTCTAACCATGAGTGGCCTTCCTCTGAACCCTCTCAGAGTTGTCCACATCCCTCTTGAATTGCCGTGCCCAGAATTGGATGCAGTACTCCAGCTGTGGCCTAACCAGTGCCGCATAGAGGGGAAGCATCACCTCCCTGGACCTGTTCATGATTCACCTACTAATGCATGACAAAGTGCGGTAAGCTCTGCTAATTACTTTGCCACATTCACGACTCATATTCATCTTGGAGTCAACAATAACTCTGAGATCTCTTTCTGCCACTGTGCTGCTAAGATCTATAGCTGTGCTGGAGATCCCCTCTCCCTAGGTGCAGCACCTTGCACTTGTCTTTGTTGAACTGCATACTATTGTTCTCTGCCCATTTCTCTAACCTGTCCAGGTCTGCCTGGATTCCATGTTTTCCCATCAGCATGTTTACTTTGTCCCATAGTTTGGTTTCATTCGCAAATTTGGACAGAGTGCTTTCTACCCCCTCATCCAGGTCGTTGATGAAGATATTGAACAGCACCAGCCCAAGGACTGAGCCTTGGGGGACCCCACTGCCTGCATCTTTCTAGGTCAATACCGACCCATCCACCACCACTCTCTGGGTACAATCCTTAAGCCAACTTGCCACCCACATGACTGTGTAATTGTCTATGGCATAGCCATTCAAATTTGTTTATGAGAATAGGATGGGATACCATGTCGAAGGCCTTCTTAAAGTCCAAATAGATGACTGTGGCAGGCACCAGTGGTGCCTGCCACTTTAAGGGTTAAATCAAGCACTCAGAAAGTGTTTGTTACAGCTGCCATTTTAGAGCTCTAGCCGCCTATATAAACAAGAGCAGTTTGCTGCTGGGGGCCAGGCAAGAAACATTGCCTGGCTGAGCTGCTGCATGGGAACATCTTATAGGTAGGAGCAGGAGGCTCTGGTCCTGGGCATGACCTAAAACTGCACCGTGCCAGGAGTGGGTGGTCTGGTGGGGTTCCCAGTGGCACAGAAACACCAGGAAAATGCCAGGCCAGTTTCCACCCCAGTGAAGGGCGAGTAGGGGCGCCTTAATCCCAGCCCTCACCTTCAGGTGAGTTATATGATACATCTAATCCAGGGAAGGCCTGGTAAGCTTCTTGAAGCACCTGAGCCTGCTGAGGTGAGTGACCCCGTGGGGCCAGGCATGCTTTGTGAAGCACCTGAGCCGGGAATGGGGGACTGTGGGCCTCTGGGGCCCTCCAAGACTGTGGAGGGCCCCAGCCCCTGAGGTCCCCTGAGTGCGGGCAGGTGACTTAGACATAACTGAGGGACCTGACTGGTTAATGCTGGGGCCAGGACCCAGATAAGGGTCAAAAGGGCCAGGGGCCCACTTCAAGAGATGCCCATAACAGCAGAGAAGCTCAGGGTCCTGACTGGCTTGAGATGGGGCCAGGGCTTAAAGGGAAGCCAAAGGTCCCAGGGAAGGGGCCACAGCTAATGGGCAAAGGGGACAGTTGAGTTGGCTACCTGAGATGTCATCTGTGAGGCTTGGGCCGTAGTGTAGGGGTGGAACGGAGCCATGGATAGCCCCCCCTCTCCCCCCAATATCAGGGTACATAATGGGCAGCCTCCTGCCTAATTGTTACATCAATATTATTACATCAAGGCATAGCAGATGAGTGAGGTGGGTGGCTGACCCGTAGACAGGGGCATGCTGGTGCTTGCACCGGGCATGAAAGCTTGCCCCTGTCACAATGACATCTACCTCACTCCTTTGTCTAAGCATTTAGTGATCTGGTCAGAGAAAGAAACAAGGTTAGTCAGAAAGGATCTACCCTCTGTGAACCCATGCTGGTTGTCCTTCAGCATTATATTACCTGCTGGACTACCTCCTGCATTAGGTGGATGTTCTGTGCACAGGTTAAGAACCTAAGTGAGCAGTTAGTTCAGGTTGACTGATCCTCCCAGCAGATGTCAGGGTAGCTTAGGTCACCCATGACAACCGTATCTCTTGACTGTATGGCTTCTGAGAGCTGCCTGGAGAATTCCAGGTCTGGCTCATCCTCCTGGTGTAACGGTCTATAGCAACCCCCACTACCAAGTCCCTTTCCCCCTGATCCCCTTGTAACCTAACCCACAGTACCTCAGTTTGGCCCTCCTCTGATCCCATCTTGATTATAGAAGATGTATATTGCTCCTTAACATAGAGCAACACCCCCCACCCCCTTTTTTTCCCCCTCTATCCCATCTGTATAACCTATAACCTTCAATGCCTACCGCCCAATCATAAGTAGGGTCCCACCAGGTTTAAGTTAGCCCAACCAGGTCAAAGTTGTTGCTTGCAAGCAGGAGTGCAAGTTCCTCCTGTTTGTTCTCCATGCTCCTAGTATTAGTGTGGAGACATTTAAGCTCCCCAATGTGTGTTCTTGATACCCCCCTGTCCTGATGTCTATTGGGCCCCTTAGTGCTTACCTGGGCTGATCCAGTGCATGGCTTGTGGCTCTCTGAACCTAGGTTCTCTTTGTTCACTGCATACCCATCTCCCAATGAACCTAGTTTAAAGCCCTTTGGAGGAGGTCAGCCAACCTGTAAGAGAACAGACTCTTACCTTTAGAAGAAAGATGAAGACCATCTCGTCCCAGGATACCTCTCTCATGGAAGTGCGGATTGTGGTTGCAGAAGCCAAAACCCGCATGATAGCACCAACTCCGGAGCCAAAGGTTGTCTTCTCTGATGCAGGCGTCTTGGTGTTGATGGCAGCTGCTGACCGGGAAGATTGATGAGAAGGCTACCTGTGCCCCCAACTTCCTAAGCCCAGCCCCCAAAGCCCTGTAGTCACTCACGATGTGGTCCAAACTACTCCTGGCCACATCATTCACATGCCCACGTGGACGAGGGCCATGGGATAGTAATCAGAGGGCCAGATAAGGTCAGGAATCCTCGCAGTGATGTCTCAGATCTTGGCACTGGGCAGGCAGCAAACCTGTGCTGTGGGATCTGGTAGACAAATAGGCCCCTCCATGCCTCTCAGGAGGGAGTCCCACCACGATGACCCAGGTCTCTTCTTCTGGCTGCCTGGTTGTCGCTCAGCCTGCATGGTTGTTGCAGATGTGTCTTCCCCTGCAACTTCCTCTGCTGCATCATCCTTCAGTGCTGCCAAGGCTTCATATCTGTTCCCCAATTGTGCTGGGGAAGCAGGGTGGACCACAAATCAAGGGGAGGTGCAAATGTACCAGTGCACCCCCTTTTCCCCTGGATCCACCCCACACTTTTCTATTCTCCCTTTCTGTTCCATTCTTAAACGCAAAAAGACATGAATCCTGCTCTCATAGCATTTCGGAGAAGACTTCTTGTTAATTTCAATACCTGAATAACTTATATAAATACATATCAAAATATTAATATATTCAAATTTGGTTTAGAAATGTAAAAGCAGCTAAAGACACAATCTTAAGCTGTCTGAGAACTTATTCATGCAACATGACTCATGATCACCAATCAGTCAGCACATCTATGATTCCTGTTTGTTCTTAAACCTTTTTCAGAAGATCTTCTATTGTCTGAGGTAGAAATTATAGCTAGATGAGTTCAAACTTGAAATAAGATATTTATATTTTAGGTAAGGGTAATTAGCCACTGGATCAGCTTAGCAAGGGTTGTGGTAAATACTCCAACCTTGCAAATTTTTAAATTAAGGGCTTTAGGTTGTTTTTTCCCCCCCTGAAAATCATGCTGTAGTTGAAAATAGAATCAATTTAGGGGGACTTTATTGTCTGTATTATTGCAGGAGATCAGGAAAGACAATCACAGTGATCCCGTATAGCCTTAACATCCATTAATCTATGTTGCTATTTGCAGGCCTAGCCTGGTGAGAAAGTGATAATAACCTTTCTGTTCTGGTCTAAGTGCTTATGTCTGCTTTATGCTCTGTCTCTTAAGATAACTTGATCCATAGAGATGTTTTTACAGTATCCCTAATGTTCCCAATTAATTTATTTCCATTATAGCTTTAAGTCAGCTTGGCAAAGTAAAAGGCAAGTGGAAGCTGAGCCTGGCCAGCTGTTTCAATTTTTTTTAAAATAGCATTTCTATTTAATTGTGGGCCAATTAACCACTCAATTTCCTTTCAGATAAAAAACCACACTCATCTGAGAGCTGCTTAATGATTCTTTATGCTGTGCATCTGACTGAGCTTTTCATTACCTAGTGAAACAAACATACTGGTCAGGTCACTTGGGAGTAATGTTAAAATTTGCTTTGCAGAGAGAGCAAAAAATCTGTTGTGATGCCATAATAGCAGGTTCTCCCACAAGCATCTGTATAGTCCTCCACTCAATTTAAAGAAACACAAAATGAACATACAACTCTATCTGCTCTATGCAGATCAACTAGCAGGTAAGTCAGGACTGGGACCTGATTTAACACTATTTGGCTTAATCTCCACCTCTGTGTTGGAGGATGCAGAACTTTGAGCGTGCGTTTTTCCTGAAAAAAAATGATACTGATGGAATCTTGATGTAACAGATCTGCCTGCTCAACTATAGAAGTGTTCATAGTGTAGTGGTTTGGGCAGCTGACAGGGAGTCAGGGCTGGTAACAGACATTGCCTTTTCGCTATCCTTAAACGATGTAAGATGGCGCACAGGCCCAGGAAACAGACATTCATGCCCCTTGTCATGCCACAAATGCCCAATATTGTGGCTGCAACAACAGGTGGTAAGAGTTTGTGCCACTTTTGCACAACAGATATCTGTTTGCCTTATGTGGGAAGCCCAGAAGTGCCCACATTCTCTAGCCACCCTGGGCAGGTGTTCCAAGGCTTCAGGGCCCCAATCCTGTATGCTTTCAGAAATTCCACTGTAGGGTCAGGCCCCTAAAGTCCTGGGAGCACCTGTCTCACTTTCCCTGCTTGCACCCCAAGAATCTCCTGGTATATGTAGTTTCACACCCAAACCCAGGAAAATGGGTGATGTTTATGTCACCTGAAGAAGTGGATCAGCTGTGCTGAGATGCATCCCAGCACATTTGATCCTACTCCAAGCACAACATCTATTTATAGTCTCATTGTAACAAATCTGTGCCTTAAAATTCAGGAATTCATGCTTTCTGATACTGTTTCTTCCCAGAATGAGGCAAATCACCTACCATCTGCATACTTCTATTTCTTAGTTGGTCAAGTGAGAATTGTGGTGCTAGGTTTTGGAGAATTAACTCACTAGTGTTCGTCAATGAGCTTTGAATGAATATATGTACGTGCATGCATGCATGCATGTGTGTGTGCGTGTGTGTGCTGGTATATAAATACCACACAAACAAAAACTTTACATTAACAATATTAGTAAGGTTGCAAAGTGAAACATTCTAAATTGAGAAAATACCAGAATTAAGGTTATCTGAGTAACTTCAAGTTGGGCTCCAAGAAAAAAAAGTTATAATAACAAAAATAACAATAATAACAAAAACATATTAATGAACATCTGTGATAAGTGGTTTAAGTGACTTTCCTAACATTAGACAGGAAAGATGGCTGAGGCAAAGATAGGATCCAATTCTCCATGCTAGCATTCAACTGTCTCATCCATGAAATCATACTTTCTTTTCCTGCAATTATCTGCCTTTTTCACTACCCACCTTCCACTTTCAGCAGCAAATGAAGCATGGGTCCTAGCAAGAAAATCCTCCTTCACAACACAACTCTGATTCATCTCCAGAGCCAATCCACCTTATGTACTGAAACAGGCAGTATCAGACTATGCAATTAAAGACTGGATTTTAATGCATGCTCATAAAGAAGCCAACATAAGATTCATATGCTGTCTTAATGCTGGCATTTTCTGGTTTCTGAGGGCTTAATTCTATTACCTCAATATTTTAAAATAGGTGGGTTTTGGAAGCAGGTATACTTTTCTAAGGAGTAAAGAAACCAGAAGCAGCAGCTGCAATATTCCATCATATGGCCACATGGTTCATCAGTTGCATTGAAACCTTAAGATCCACTGCACAGTGGATCTAATAGAGTAACTGATACAAATACTAAGTTGCCATCTTTTATTCTCTAATTAGATGAAGATGAGAAACTTTACCCGTGGGTTTCAGAAATCTTTGCTGACAGCAGAGGACAAGTAAAAAAAAATCAAGGGTTCTATTCCAGACTTTGGAAGGTGGGAGGAGAGTGGCACAGATATAACAGACCCAAATTCTTCTGCTCATTCCCCCCAAGCTTATCATCTTCTTTTTAGTCCCCTCCAATCTGTACTTCCTCCTCTTAGTCACTTTGCCCAACTAGCCCCATTTCTCCACTCTAGTTTCCTTGTCCAATCTCCCTTGTTTCCCCTCTGCTTGTGTTCCTGCACTGACTCCAGTTTCATTCCTCATTTTCCTCTGAAGTTCATCTAATGGTTTTAGAAATCTGTAAATCCATGAATTCGTTGCTCTCTACCTTCAACAGCCAACCTCCCCACACTTGACTACCAGTTTTCCTTGCCCCAGTTCCCAATTTATTTTCCCATCCATCCCACACCAGTCCTCCATCTCAGGCATGTGCTACTTTCAGTCCCCATTTGCCCCTCAATATATGAATCAGACAGCTTAATCCTGTGGCACTAAAATGGGAGTCATTGAGAGCACAGGAGTGAAGCCTCTGCTCTCAGCTGAGGAACCCGCACCAAGCACAGCCCACAGGGGCACAGAGCTGGAGCTGCAGGGAAAGTTTTGCTCAGGTCTAGGCTGATGCTTGCCTGACACAAGCAGCATCTTTGGAAACATAAGCTCCAAGGATCCAGAATGTTCCAACGGCAGGTTTTCAAACACTTAGCACTGCCCAAATTAGGCAGAGTGACATGGTGACCACAAAAGACATTTCCTTGACACAAAGGCTCCTCCTTGCCACATTTCAATCCCATTCCCTATCCTCATTTTCAAAAACAGCTGACCCATTTTGGCAGAATCTCCTCCCTCCCCCACACATACGTGACATGAGGGAAACAAGGGGCATGGAAAATTTCAGCCCAAATGGTTAAGGTTTGTCAGTTATAAACAACTGGAAGCAAAGTATTATAACGGAAATATCAGCTTTGTCAAGGCTTAATGAACAGCATTACCAAAGGTGGGACCCAGTAACTAGTAGCTGACTGCAGAGCCATCTGTGCACTGAACAGTGCATGGGAACTTCCCTCAGGGCATGGCAGAAACTGCTATCAATTAGCTTTCTAAGACTGTACACCGAGAATGAAACATGAGCAGAATTTTTACAATGAAAAACTGGTCTAACTTACCCTGGCTAGAAGTTATCTACTTGAATTATTATAGTCCTCTTGTGTCTGTCTACCTGCTGGAATCAGGAAATGTGTATTATACCCAGCAAGTCCTTGATATAAAACCAAATTTTCCCTTCCAGTAACAAAGTTAGTAGACTAAGTTGAGTTTGCAACCTGTCCAGCAGATCCAGCCTATTCCCCAGCATGGATGGTTCCTGAGCCTGTTGAAAACCTCATCTGCTGTAACTCCTGGTCACTGGGGTTCTGCATGCTACAGATATCTAGGGCTGCTGATGGAGAAAAAACTTGGGAAATACAACCTATGGCATTCTGCCCTCAGAACCTGCCAGAAACCTCAGCAAGAGTTAATGTTCCTTCAAGCAGAATTAACTCCTGCAGAATCCCCTCAGCAGCTGGTACTGTGCAGCTGCAGGGAGCCTGTTAGTGGCAGCTTGGCTCCGGAGGGAGAATTTTCATGTAGTGTCCATGAAAATGTCAGTTTTCCCCATGTAGGGTCGTTGCCATGCTTTCCATATGTTTACTGGGTTCCTAACTTAAGAACAAGTGCCTAATGTGACGCGTGCCTGTGACCAATACGCTGCCTTGGGATTCCGTGCTTATTAGAAGTATTTTTTTTCCAGTGAAATACTCTGTTCAGACAAGGATTCTTGTTTTGCTTTGTGGATTTAAAAAAAAAAGAAATTGAATAAGAAATCAACGACCTGCCTCCTAACTAGCTTAATCACAGACACACACATTATTGGCACTTGCTAAGGGAATGCCAGCAATATGAATGAAGGACTTAAAAATAATACAGATAATTTTAATTTATGACTATCTTAAGTTCCCCTTGCCAGTTCCTTTGGTTTTATAGTTCAATTCTCCACCTCTTTTTTTTTTTAATGAGTTTCTATTTCCTGTTTTGGTACAAAGACCCATATAAAGAACAAGGGAAAGTGGCTGATTACAGAGGGCAGTCAGTTGATTTTATGTCTCCTTCTGTCACACAATAAGAAAAATAAGAAAACATTTCTTTTCTTTAATCTCTTTCACTTGTAGTAACATAAGGTGCCAATGGTAAGTATAGGAGGAGATGGTTTCAGTGAAAGGGATGCTTTCTTTTCAGTGAAATTCCTCATAAGGGGACATAGCCAGTCCTGTTGTGGGCAGGGTGTGATGGGAAGGAATCCTACCCACAGTCTGCAGCTACAAAGATTCTGCATGCGAGCTGCTGCATCCTAATGGCTGTACTAACCTCCCTGGTCCCACAGTGGGAGATCTCTATTTGGAGCACAGTAAGCAGCTCCACCTCCACCCTCACATGCTCCTGCAGAGTGGATGCACCCCGTGCAGTCTCCTCTAATAATGCCCCATCCTTTAGAACAATCTCATTTCCACAGCCAGTAGTATAGCTTGTGGGTAGGGAGAGACACCAATCCCCAGTGTCAAATCAGAAATGACACCTGAATGCCAGCCCCCAGGGAGCCTGAGTTACTGCCATAGCCTATATAGGGGGAGCTTGAACTGAACAAGGAAGTAAGTGCTTGCACAAGTGCTGTACAGCCTGCACAAGGAGGTAAGTGCTTCTCCCCTGCCCATGCCACCCCGAGCGCCAACATTTCAAATGACAACTCTGTCCAGTCTTCAGGACAGAGTTGGGAGGTTTGCTTCTCTCCAATTACTCATTTATTTTGAATTTTTCACAGCCTTTATTTTCCTTGAGGTCTCCTTCATGTTCTAATTTTTTTTTTCATGTTGAAACAGGTGAAATTGGTTTCCCTTCTGTATAACCCTCCTCCTGAACAATGGCCCTCATTCTGAAATTTCTTCGGTCATGTGGCCACAGTGGTGAAACCCCCCTTATATTCTTCCTGCAGCTCCTGCTGCTCATCTAGCTGCCAGGTCACAACTCCCCTGCTGCAGCTTCCAGACCCAGTTGCTAGGCAACATTTTTCCACTCCCTTTCTGTGCAGCCTGCCTGCTCCAGGGCCCCGTTCTCAGAGCAGGCAGAGACAGAACCGCCATTGCAGAAACACATATTTTGTACATTTGCTCCCTCCTGACTTCCCACCCACCTTTCTGACTTTAGTGGTCATCCAAATGCCCATCACCTTTTACCATTCGTATACTTACTATGGC